TAGACGTTATTTATTATATATATATATATATATATATATATATATATATATATATATGAAATAATATAGTTTTAAGGTCTGCAATATTTATGGGATAAAGTGCTCAATATCAAAAGATAGAGCGTTAGAGCGTATGTAAATATAAATATATTTCAATTCAATTTTCATTTATATATATATATATATATATATATATATATATACACTCACATATTTATTCATGCACACGCATATATATATTTAGATGTGTATGTATATATTGGATTTTTATTTATTAATCTAACAGGTTTGTAACACTTAAACCTTATATTTAGTGAATATCCAGATCTGAGTAGACGTTTTTATTTTTTCTATTTTTAAACAATATATTTATATCGCCTACTGGAATGAATAATTGAGAAATCTCATTAGAAATAAATATGCATCTTCCGCCAGAATGCGAACCTGCATCCTCCTTGGCAGTAGTAACTGTCGTTAGAACAGCCGTGCTTTAACCGACTCAGCCACGAAGGTTATTGTCGATCAATCAAGAATCTTTAATGATTATTGTGTTTATTCTTTTAAATCTGTTTGACATATTCAATCGTCCATATGAAAGAATATTTTTTAAAAGTCGTTTTGACCCGATATGTGATCGGACATTTCGAACTTGGGACAAATGACTAATGTTTGTTTACAAAATAAAGTTTAATAAAAAGCAAAGTCGAATGAGTGAAATCTGATTTAGTCAGACTAAATACAAACACATACATAAGATGTTTATTAGAAAGTGCAGACGGTTTAAAATAAAAACATAACATTTATTTCAAACACGGGTGTTTCCTAAAAATAACTTTTGAAGTAATAAAAATGTCGCATTAAAAATAAATCCATTAATTCTTTAGAAAGTGCTTTGTTTACGTTCCAGATACGAAACAGAGAATAACTTGACTTTCGAGAAAAAAAAAAAAAGTGGGTGCATTCTTTAACGATAGTTTCTACTACAAAAGGGGAGACTGGTTCGAACCCTGCCAGTGACTACGTTTTCTTTATTAAAATTTCTTGAGTGTACAGGCCGATAGATGTAATAAATACGTTAAGATAAAAGCGGGGCGTTTATTTTAAATACAATATTCGCTAAAAATAACATTTGAATTAAAATTTAAATTCTTAATTTTGGTTTAAAAATAAATCCGTCAATTCTTTAGAAATTACACATACACACATACATACATACATACATTCACACACACACACACACACACACACGCACACACACATATATAATTAAAGCAAAAGATGGTCTATGTGTGTTCTTTATTGGCATATTCATGCGTGAATATAGCAACAAAGATGAGGACAACAGTCCGAACAATGTAAATATTTACAATACCTCATCTCACAAATGTAGACAGAAAATTATAACAATATTGACAATATTATATAATAATAATTTATCATATATATTATATATATATAATAAATATCATCAATCTTATTGACAATATTGTCATCATTTTGCTGTCTTGTTATTCGTCATTAATAGGTATTATATATATATATATATATATATATATATATATATATATATATATATATATATATATATATATATATATATGTATGTATGTATGCGCAAATGTATCCGATTTAAATGTAGGAATGATTGTTTTTCAGGATTCTTTTAAGTGTGGAGAGTTTCTATCTCTTTAAAATCAGCTTTTAAAATCCTAGTTTTGTCTTAGGCTTGAACGTCGATCAGTGGTACAGGTGGGAAACATATTGCATTAGATAGCTATTTTCTTGAAGCTCAAGTTCTAGCTGATAGTCGGATAATATTCATCAGTTTAAATGTTACAACTTTGCTAGATGAGCTATAAAGACTCCCATCAATTTATTTGAATAAGTAACATAGGATTTGAAACCGATATACACTTCTTAAAGATTTATATGTCTGATGTAAACCCATCTTTCTGAACCCAGCCTCTTTCTCCAGTTTCTCTCTCTATTTTCTTTTTAACGAAGCAGATACAATACTTTTTTGATGTCACTGGATTATAAAATACAAACGAATAAAAAGTAACCTTTTTGGCATTTTAATAGTGCTGTAGTTCGGCCTTTCAATAAACTTCACCGTCTCATTCATGACTTAAAAAAAATTATCTTGGCTAAATACTTTAAGCTACTTTACATTACGAGGCTACTTTTAGTTTCTACAATATGAACGATCAGTTAAGATTCCATAGATTCAACATATAATTTTATCTCATTTGTCCACTTCTAAAATCCTCAATATCAATGAACTTAGTATTGTCAGGTCTGACCCCAGAAATGATCGATAGTCCAATGGAATATTGTATAATAAATTTTCTTTTGATATCAATTTGAATAGATCTCTGTAAAAATACAGGCTCCATTTTTTCTCTTTCTTGTTTTCTCTTTTTCTTTTCTTTCTTCACTTCTTTTCTTTTTTCGTTTTCCTTGTTTTCCAATTCTTTAATCTCTGTCTCTCTCGCTTCGAGTTTACTTTTATTCACGTCTCCCTTTTTTTTCTCTCTTTTTTCTTTGTTTTTTTCCTTTCTCCATATATTTCTCCCTTTCGAATTTCTGTTTCTCTTTGTGTTTCATCTTCTCTCTCTCTCTCCCCGCTCTCTTTTTGTATTTACATTTTTGTACCTATATTTATATTCTCTCTCTCTCTCTCTCTCTCTCTCTCTATCTATCTATCTATATATATATATATATATATATATATATAGGGTGCAATGGATAAATTATCGTCTAAATTACGCAAAAATGAAAGTAACACTGACATCTCATTTTAACAGATACATTTACCAAAATCACACAAAAATATCTTGAAATACAAAAGAATAAATTTATTCAATAAAATCGTCATTGGCTTCAACCACAGAACTCCAGATGACTTCGGAATCTCCTGCAACTCTTCTGAATGGTCTCCTTCTTTAGGTTGGTGAATGCTGCCATAATCCTTGCTTCCAGTTCATCTTTGGTGTTACAAGTAATTTTTCTGGTTTCTCGTTCAACTGCGCCCCACACATATTAATTAAGTGACTCGCAGTATAGGAAGTAAAGTAGCCAGATATAAGGGGTGATGTGGTCGCAGAAATTGTCTGATAGCCATGACTTCTTTCCCCTGATTGTGTAACATGGTGCAGAGTCCTGTTACTAGACATAGGGTCTTCCAGGAGCCAACCTATTGACCAAGGGCAGCACTACCTCCTCAAGGTACTTAATCCTCCTTGTTGAGTTTGAATCCCTGTAGGAAGATGAATGGTAATCGACATCACTAGTAATCACTCCAAACACCATGATGCTGACTGGATACATCATCCAATATTTTCCGAATCCTCTGCACTGTTCCCATATTGACTCCCAAATACTCAGAAATGTTCTCATTGGAGCTTCCGGTTCGAATGCCAAGCAGTACAGCATGCTGTTTCCAAATTTTGAGCGGAGGGAATTGCGTCAGCTCTCTTTTTTATCAGAGTGCACCCAACTGACCCTACCATATTGTGCAGTCGACAAAATCAAAAACAAACAACACGCATGCGCCAATTTAAAAATATGAAATGGCAAAAATTAACCCATCACACTCTAAATATATATATATATATATATATATATGTGTGTGTGTGTGTGTGTGTGTGTGTGTGTGTGTGTGTGTGTGTGTGTATTTTATTTCCGTTGCCTAAACTGTAGAGTCGCCTATAGTTGAGGCCCACCGCTAACATCGCATTTGCTTTGTCCTTGTGCCAGACATGCCTAATATAGGCTCTTTTCACATATTTTATTTGGGAAGTGTCCATCGTTAATTTGTAGAAATGTTCCTAATGCAAATTTTATACAAAATGCCAAAGAACAATTCAAACTAGAGGAATACTGAATGCATTTTTATAGACGAAGTAAGAAGGTTATGAAATTATATAGGATTCATAACATTTGATCCTAGACTTGAACAAGTGAAGATTGTGGGGATCGGGTAAGCATTCTCTCGGGAGTCTGTTCTGCAAAGCAGCGGAAGAAGATATTCGAATGAATGTTCCTTCTTAGTAATGGAATACGAAAGAAATGGGGATGATTCGACACTGTGGACGCGGCATTAAAGGAGGGTCTTAACTGTAAAACTCGGAACTGCTGGAATAGGTAATATAGCTTGTCAGAATAATTCCCATGAAAATAGTGATAGAGTAACACTTGAAATGTTTCGTCTTTTGGAAAGGAACTGTACGGCCCTCATGGCATTTCAGAATTGTTTATCCACTTGTCTAATAAAAGAACAACTATAAATTAAAAACTTGTGATTGTAGATATCACCAATCACCTTCAACATTCTTGTCACTGAATTATGACAAGTGATGTTCATTGAGTAGCATTGTTTCATATTATACAAGTGTCTATCACTAGAAATTTTTCTCCTCAGAATCCATCTTGCATTAAATACTGGCCTGGTGCTCCTTTTGTACATCCAAAGAAAGAGCTGTCATGTAATCAGTCCTGACCTGGCATCTCGACTTCACTTACTTTGTCACCAACGTGACGTGGCTTCCTTTTGTCTTTTCTACAAATATTTTCATGGCAATTGCTCTGACGAGTGTTTTTTCCCTGGTTTCCCGACTCCAAGAATTTAAGCGTACTACTAGCTTGGCATCTAGGTCTCACCCTTTTACTGTTGAAATATGTGCGTGTGAGTTGGGGGTGCACGTGTTTGTGTGTGTGTATGTGTGTGTGATGTACGCTGCTGTTGATTTCGCCGTATGGGGAACAAGCAGTTCAGTTTAGAACTGAATTCCTAGACTGCCCAACCAGATGATTTGGTTTTAGTTATCAAGGCCTCTTTAGAATCAGCCACACTTTTCGAAAGGACAGAAATTATGCCCTGAGTGTGACGAAATCTCCTAAAAGCCACCCTCGTGTTTTATTCTCACGGGGTTCGAGTTCTCTGACATAAGGGCAAAACTTAATGTTTATATATATATATATATATATAGAAAAAGTTTCAAATTAAAAATTATAATGTTTTATTTTATGAAAGTATTTATTTATTTATATATATTTTGATATTTCAAATTGTCCTCAATTTTTCATCAGAAATAACTGTTTGTTACAAATAAATTAAAATTACTGTTTGTTGTAAGTAGTGTACTTCGCGAGACGCGGACGTCACGTGATATGGAACGTCACTGTTCAGATATTCCTAACTTAAATCTAACTGTCATAAATATTTTAAAAAATATTTTTTACTATATCTAAAGAAATTGCTTAGCTATTGAAATATTTATAAAGATTTAAAACACCTAAGTCCCTATTCAACCCTAATTTATGTGTATGTAATTTTAAAATCCAATATGTTTTTTTTTTCTGCGTGTGAATGTGGAAGTAAAATCGGAATCTATTAATAAACATTTGCAGTTTTCTAATGTGTGTCCTGATTGATTGTAGTGTTTAGCTATGGGGAATAAGGGTTGTTTTGACGTATTGTTTGTTTATGGTTATTAAAACGAAATCTAAAATTGTTTCCAGACTTACCAATATATCCACTATTAGGACATAAGTTGCAGAATAAATAATAGATTACGTTATGGGTATCGCAGGTGAGGTTAGGTGGCTGTATCCTGATATTGGTGTTGGGTACGTAAAATGTATTAGCTATTACTAAATGTTTGCAAACTAAGCAACGAGGTTTGTTACATTTGTAATTTCCTGTTTGGTTTCTATTGTTTAGATATTTGGTAGAGGTGAGGATAGCTGATAAGTTAGGTGATTGTTTCATTGCATTTATGGGTGGTTTATCGAAAATGTCTTTGATCTTGTTGTCTAATTGGAGGTTCTTGTAATCATTTTTTAATTTATGAATAAGTGTGTGGGAATATTGATTGTGGTTAAAAACCATTGGAATCCGATTGTTTTTTTTTTTTCTTGTATGTGAGAAGTGTGTTACGATTTATCAGGATAGTTTTATTTAGTGCTTCTTTTATTATTTTTATTGGGTATTTGCATTTTAGGAATTGTTTTGTTGTTATTAATATTGTATAGAAAATCTAAATGGTCTGAGCATATGCGTTTGGTTCTAAGAAATGAGCTGTATACAATAGATTTTTTTAATTTAAAAGGGATGACAGCTGTTAAAGTGCAGGAATTTATGTTGGTTTGTGGGTTTGTTGTATAGACTGGTAGAAAGTGTATGTTTGTTTAATTTTATCATAACGTCTAAGAAAGGGATGGATGTGTATGAGTGCTCCATGGTAAATTTAATTGTATCGTGGAAATTGTTGCAGAAAAGTGAAAAAGGTTTTTTAATTTTTCTGATCCATGAGTCCATAATAAGAAAATGTCATCAATATATCTAAAGTAATGTGATGGTTTATATTCCGAATTGTCTTGTATCTTCTTTTCTAGAATGTGCATAAAGATATTAGCATAACTAGGTGCCATTTTTGTGCCCATTGCTGTGCCACTAATCTGTAAATAGTGTTTGTTGTTGTATTTAAAATTATTATGTGTTAAGATGAACTTTATTAATTGGCATATATCTGTAATTTGGTAGTTAGGTAATTTTTTGTTACTAAGGAACTCATAGCAAGCTGATACTCCTTCAACATGTGGAATGTTCGTGTAAAGGGACGAAACATCCATCGTTACTAGGATTGTATCATGGTGGACTAAGTTAATGTTTTGTAATTTGCTGAGAAAGTCAGTAGTGTCTCTAATATAACTAGGTATGTCAGGCAATAAAGGTTTTAGGATATTGTCTATGTACCCAGATATAAGTTCTGTGAGGGTGCCAATGCCTGATATTATGGGTCTACCAGGTGGCATGATTTTAAGGGTTTTTGAAATTTCATAGATGTTCTCTTCATTATTTGATTGTGTAATTTGATGTGGGTCGATGAAAAAGTGTTAGGGTGTTTTTCTGAAATGATTTTGGGGAGTTTATGTAGTTTTGGGATAGTGTAGAATGTTGCTGTTTTAGGGTTCTCAGGAATAAGAGATTTTATGGTATTTTTTATGTTGTAGTTCAGATTCTGAGTGAGAAGTGATAATTCTGTTTTGAATGTGCTAGTTGGGTCTAGAGGTAAGGGTACATAGAATCTGTTATTTTGAAGTTGTGATTCTGCTTTAATGTAGTGGTTAGTGTCTAAGATGGTTATAGCTCCGCCCTTGTCGGCTGGTACGATAATTATGTCTCGGTTGTTTTTAAGAGTATAGATGGCTTGGTGTTCTATTTTGGATAAGTTGTATTTTTTATCTGGTGTCCTTTGTTTTTAAGAAGTAATCCATGTGTTGTCTGGCTTTGTGGGCATATTGATCCAAGTGTTGGTTACGTCCGCTTGGTGGGGTCCATATATTGTTCTTCGTCGGAGGAAGTTTGGAGCATGATTGGTTAGCGCTGTTGTCTGTATTAGAAGTAGGTTTGTTGTCTGAGAAATATTCTTTAGTCTCAGTCTACGAAGGTATTTTTCCATATCGTAGCAAAGGTTTAGAGGTTTTAGTGGTTGT